ACGGCGACCACTGTACATACTGCTTAACACATTTTAGCAAACCGTTTTGGTACTTTCATTCGTTTTGTCACAGCAAACATACTAAAATTAGTTACCGGACAGCTAAATAGTCGTTGCGTGTAAGTGCACAGCCAATATCCTTTGTTCAAGGTTCCCTACGCATCGTTATTTTTGCTTTGCTGCAACCTTATTGTAACCAAGTGGGAGTGAAAAGGTGTTTGCACACCCCTCCCTTTATTTAAATGCACCGAACCTCGACGAATCGGCTTATTCGCGTAAGTTGCACGTGCTGTAGCCGTACTTCCGTATAAAAAACACCGTTTGTTCGTGTGATGACTCCACGGTCAGTAGTGACAGGAGAGCAGAGCCTTGGATTTCCTTTGTCGGGTCCGGAGTTCCAAAAGTGGTCGGTAAACGTTCATCAATGAGTGCCAATATTTCCCTATCGAAATCGGCAGGACAACCAACTCGTGGATAAGTCGTTAATGCCTTAGACTCTGATCACAAAGGTCGCGAGTTCGAGCCTCGGGTGGTGCACCATTTGGGACAGGGTACGACTGGCTGGCTGAAGATGGCTAATAAGGCAGAAATTGCCAGTAGGATCTCCGTTCATTTTGCCGGCAATACTATCTACCTAAAACTATCAGCAGCTGTGCCGCGGCTGTCAGGGTCCGAGAAATGAGACCCAAGGCGCAGCGGAACAAGTGAGATTAATTAGCGGTCAGTTAGAGTTCATCAACGACCTTCAGCCCAACCAATCGGATAACACTTCTCCGATCAGGCAGGTTGACAGCTAAATCGTGCATGGGCGGCAGTCAGTTCCTGTTATCAGCTTGAGGGTGGAGGGTTGACTTTCAAGTGATCTCTCGGGGGCATCTCTGTTGGTCGCTCCGACAGCGATCGTCCTCTCGACATGGTTAGCACGTTTCACACAGGCGGAACAACCCCCACAGAGCAGCGGTTGGCGGAGGGCAGAGGGTGATTTGTTAAACTAGGAAGTACACGATTTCCGCCAGCGCATCCATTGTTTAGCCTCACTGCTACCGAACTTGCGCAATGCTGATGGAGATACTGACTGTTCAGTAGGGCATGCTTAACGGACATCAGCCGACACCTCAACCGTCGGATTTCTACGATGTCCACCATGTGCTGCACAACAAGATGGTAAATGGACGGTGGCTTGCGCTGTATCTACCTCACTCTTTTCCCTAGCTTGGCCTAGGTTCAAGATAAACTAAAGAAGA